GTACGCTTGGAGTACGGTGGAGTACTGATGTAGTAGAGTGGAGTATCACTGGAGTAGAGTGGAATACTGTTGAAGTAGGATGGAGTGTCACTGGAGTACGACTGGAGTAAAGTGAAGTATCACTGGAGTAGAGTGGAGTAGAATGGGGTAGCGTGCAAGGAAGAAAAGCAACACTTCATCTACTCCCATACTTCATTAACGTACGAGGGGAGTGCAAGGTATATTCTGTAGATGCTCTAAGGTCCTCAAAGTCTATATTTTAGAGGTTGCTTTAGGTCCTCAATTACTACATTGTGGGGTATCCTTAGGTCCTCGATTGCTACATTGTGGAATACGCTTAGGTTCTCAAATGCTATGTTCTTGGGTACCCTTAGATCCTCAAGTGCCATATTCTTGGGGTACCCTTAGGTCCTCAAGTGCCATATTCTTGGGATGCTTTTAGGTCCTTCAGTGCCATATTCTAGGGATACTCTTAGGTCCTCAAGTGCTACATTGTGGGGCATCCTTAGGTTCTCAAGATCTATATTGTGAGTGTTTGAGATGGGAAAAAAGCAAGACCCGCGTGCTCCGGAAATAGAATGGAGTACGATGGGAGTGCGGAGGATACGAGAGATTACAAGGGGAGTATAAGGGAAGCACAAGAGAAGTGCAGATGAAGTACAATGAACTATTTTGAACTATGAATGATCTCTCATTATCATTGTTTTCATTAAACATGCTATTACTCAAAAATATGATATATAACCAAGGGAGAAAAGCGAAAATGCCATACTGCCGCGCACTATCTGTGTTACCAGGCTATGCGATAACAATGGGTGGCGCATATAGTAGGTGTTTACTTTTTCATATGAAACGATGTCCACAATTGTTTGACGCGCTGGAGCAGATGTTTCACTATTACTTGGTAGAATTCGACTTCTGGTATCACTTTGCTTTCGACATCGTTTGTCGATATCGTTCATGAACCCAAATATGAGCGATACATAAAATATTTACTATTTACTTAGTAAAGTAAATACTGATTTCTTGATGAATTCCCAATATTTTTCTTCATGCGCAATATCAAGAAACAGCGTTGTGAGCACGGTTATAGCGAAAGCTGAGTTCTACAAAGTGAAAATGAGACATTTGATCAAATGTGTCGAACTACTGTGGACATCGTTTCATACGAAAAAGTAAATATTTACCCTATATGCAATCCCTAGCCATAACTATGCATGAGATCTTTCTAGCTACTTCAAGTCTAATATTAATCTGCGTTAGGGTATATTAGCTAGAGTCCAGGCTAAGTAAGTCTCCCTCAAGATCAAGTCTAAACACTTCATTGTACTCGCAAATTCGGGGTACAATGAACTATTTGGACTTTATTGTCAGATAGACTTATGTAGGCTGGACTCCGCCTAATATATTGTAACACGAGCCAATAGTAGACTTGAAATAGCTAGAAAGATCCGATACGTAGTTAAGACATAGCCTGAGAGTGCAAGGAGTGTGCGGGAGTACGACATTTTCGTTTTTTCCCCCTTGGTACTCCTAGAGTATAGTCCTTGAGAACGTGTAGGTATCCCCAGTATATGGCAATTGAGGACCTAATGCTAACCCAGACTATAACCCTTGAGAGCCTAACGGTATCCATAGAATACAGCATTGGAGGACCTAAGGGTACTGCAAAATATAGCCCTTGAGAACCTAAAGGTACCCATATATATAGTGCTTGAGCATCTAAAGGTACCCTTAGAATATAGTCCTTGAGGAGCTGAGGGTATCCCCAGCATATGGCACTTTAGGACCCACGGTTCCCCAGAATATAGCCCTTGATGACCAAAAGGTATCTCTAGAGTATAACATTTGAGGACTTAAGCGTGCCCTAGAATATAGCCCTTGATGACCTAAGGGTATCCTCAGAATATAGCATTTGAGGAGCTAAGAGTGCCCTAGAATAGAATCCTCGAGAACCTAAGGATACTCCAGAATATTGTCCTTGACGACCTAAGGGTATCTCCAGAATATAAAGTTTGGGACCTAAAGGCATCCTAGATTATAGCCCTTGAGAACCTAAGGGTATTCAGAGAATATGGCACTTGAGGACCTAATTGATAAGAGAATGCTAATGGATCACTGATGGAGTACTAATGGAGTAGGACTGAGTACAGGTGGAGTATAAGCGGAGTAGGGTAAATTACGGGTGGAGTAGAATGGAGTACGAGTGAAGTACCGATGGAGTAGAGTAGAGTACGAGTAGAGTGGAGTATCGGTGGAGTATCGTCGGAGTATGCATTCCTGGAATACCGCCTTTTCCCCCTTGGTGTGGGTATAAAATAAAAAACAAAATATCCATCCACACATCCACACCCACACCCCACACCCACCCACATCCACACCCCTACCCACACCCACACCCTTATTATTACGAAATAGTTCTTAACTTCTTCAAATTATTGGAGAGTTTTGAATTCAGATGTAATAATAAATTGTAAACATACCTGATGGCGACTGCCTGAACGACAGTCGAAACGCGTCGTGTGATGCTCTCAATCTCGAAAAATCTTTAATCATATGAAATCCAGATTATGGTAGCTGTTACACACTACTATAAAATGATTTTATCAATCTATAATTGTTCAAACGATTATAGAACAGAATAAATTCAATTATTCTTGTGATTTTTTTGAAAATCATTATAGAATTTTAAGTCATCTGATGATTCTCTTAGCCGAGATGAAACCTAGATTATGGTAGCCGTTACACACCCACACCCCACCCTTTGCACGGACGAAACACGTGTCATGGCGGCTTGTCACACCCGCACCCACACCCAGTCTTGGAAACCAGATTGAGAGAAAATGTGAGGCCTTTATAGTAAAGAAAAACCAATCACGAATTTAGAGACAGGATATAGTGGAATTTGGGGGTAGTCGGATTTCGAGTTCATTTCTTCTATGCCAAGATTGGATACCATGTGTACTGGAACAACAGGCCACCATAGCTATTACCGTTTGGATAACGACGGGCATCCAATTTAATATAACCAGCATTACCCCAGCTTGCACCCCACGAGTTTCTGATCACATAGTAAGGTATTCCATTCTCGTTACCATAACCGACAATCGTCACCGCATGGTTGCATGTTGGCGAGACAGTTACATATCTAGTGCTGCTGAAGGTACCATTAAAATAATTGTTCCATCCGGTCGCATCACCGCAAACCGTCAAAACACCAATATTATAAAGAGCATTCTTGATGCTGTTGTCATCTGTTGCAACTTTGCCATAAGGCGTTGTTTGCTGTAACATGTACAGCATAAGAAATTAGTCTGCTCTTTCAATATCAAAATAGAACCTTACTTTTAACTGCGCAAACTTTTTAATATTTGAGGCTAAGCACGTCCGTTGTACAGTCTTGTAGGGATATTCAGTCTCCGAGGCTATGCCTCCATTTTTTGAAATATATGTAAATGCGTCTGACATCCAACCACCTTTACAGCCACCGTATGGGTAACCAGTTCCAACATAAGTACAATCTACCAACTGTTGTTCGGAAAGGTCCATCAGACTCTTCGTCTTCTTCCAGTATGCAAATTCAATAGCAGCAACGGCTGAAAAAGTCCAACAGCTACCACACGAACCTTGATTTCGGACGGCACTGACTCCTCCACTGTTTCTCAAGTCTAGAGGGACATAAGAAGTCTACTGATAAAATTCTCACCGATCGTTACTTACCCAGGCTAGGTGGCGGCATTGCACGCGACATACGATTCGATCGCTTTTCTTTATCATTTTTTGTAGCAAATGTATCATTCGGCACCTTAACACCACTTAGCCATACTTTCTTGAATTCTTCGTCAGTCTGACAAAAAAAGAGAGCAAACATAAATTGAATCCCTAGTCAACGAACATAGAAAACAGACCAAGTCACAGAATTTGTTCACTCCCATCTTGTATGTGTGCTTGCCTAAGTCAGCTTCACGATTGTGCTTGTCCATCTTATCCATGCTAGCTTTACAGATATTTCGACTATGAATAGGGAAAGAGATTATTCTGATGCAGAGCGCAAACAATTATGATGTTCTTCTTACCGATAGGCTTCTTCTCCATCGGAAGAGTACTTTTTTCCAAAGTCACTTTTGTATTTTTTCCATGCAGCACCACGATCCGATTCAGAAAAGATGCCGACGAACAGGACACAGAGGATCATAAAAACCTTCATTAATGTTGCAGCTGTCTTCGTTTGCTTGTAAGTTTACAAGATGCAAGATAGGGTTCTGCAAATTAAAATATACCTCAGATCTCCTGTTTTTCGGCAATCCATGTACAGTTCGATAGAGTTCGTCAAGCTCATCACATCATACGAGCGCAAAAAATTTTAGAAACATTTACATGTAAGAAATCTTCAGAATGAACGTTTTTCAAACAATGTAGAAAAATCTGCAGATATGTTTTCGCTTTCGCCATTGATGCACATGTGTAAATGCAGAGTATATCTATGCTCATCTTCACCCACCTTGGACACTCACATAGATACTTTCGCTGACCAGGGAACATCCACAACTGTCTCCTCGCTTTTCGCTTGGACCCATTGCCATTCGATCGGTCTTGGTGAGTAGTGAAAAATCCTCTTTTGGTTTGATTTTTCGGTCTTCTGTTATCGACTTATGGCCATTTTACTGGATTTTTGGTCTATGAGTACGAGATTGCATGAGAACTTCAATGACTGAATTTCGAGCTGAAATTTTGTCCATAGACAGCTCTCATAGTCATTAGAAAATTCCCAAAGTTCAAGTCAGAACGAATACATCGGGTAATTCCATGGGAATCCTACCATGATTACAGTGAACTCCTTGAAATTGGGTCAAACTTTCAGGATTTATAGAGCTTTTTTCGCTGATCATTTTCACTACAAAAAAGTTGGTACTTGTACTTAAATTGACGGAGAAATATTTGAAATACTTTTATCAGAAAATCACACTATTTTTGTGATCATTGTATGCATAACTTTGTGATTTCTCGGTCTTAATCGTTTTTTAATCTATCTATGATCACGTTTCACTCAAAAAATATTGTAGCCCATGTGAAATTGTACCTGAGTATGTATGATTGAAAAATATTTCTATGATGCATAATGTGACCCCACCGTTCACTAGACTCATAATAGATGGTGAACAGCCCTGTTTTAATCATTCAGGTTCTCGTGGAATCGCATGGTCATAGATCAAAAATCCATTACAATGTCCATTAGTCGATAACATAGAACCAGGAAATAAAACCAAAACAGGCTTTTTCACTACTCAACAAGACCGATCGAATGGCAACAGAACCAAGCGAAAAGCGACGGGACAGTTGGGCATGTTCCCTCGTGAGCCATCATTTTAATCAACAACACTCAGCCCTCCACGTAAAGCCACATTCAAAGATTCAAACTTCTTATGTGCACTACAAGGAAACATCAGAGTTGTAACCGGTCCGGCTGGAATACTTAGACCTGCCGGTCTTCGCCGGTTTTTACCGGTCTACAGACATGTCTTAGTCCAAAAATTTACCCCTACTCTCCTCAGGATTCAGTAAAAAACTGTATTTTACAAATTTTAAAACGTCGTTTTTCTCTTAAGACATTTATCAAGAGTAAATTTAGATGCAATTATAAACATAGTCGTGTTCTTTCGAGATTTATCAGTTTTATTTCCTTCAATTTATCAAAATATTTTTAATTTTTTAACGAAGATTTATTTTATTTCTTGAAAAGCACAATTATAACAGTGTCATTCGATATAAACTTCTCAACTAATCGCATTGATGCTTTGCTACAGACTAGATTTAAGGAAGCACTCCGATTCTGAAAAATATTAGCTTTTTCTGTAAAATATAAGTGAAAAAATTCAAGGTTTGCACATAAGGAATCACGTGTTGGGTAGATCTATCCTTCTTCTCGAGAGAGAAACAGCTTATATTCATCGTTTAACAACTCTACAGATATTAAAACACAAGTAACGCAGCGCAAACGCTGCTAACCCTCTACTGAAAGGATGAGTTGTACTGAAGATAGGATATTAGAAGTACTAGATGTGGGAAATAATTTGTTGGCAGTACGTTAAGGAGCGAAATGAAACAAACCATTATTCTTCGAGAGTTGAAAATGTAGATTCCCATATTCGGTAGTCCCTACGGAAATTACATATGCTGAGCATGTTAAAAATATACTTTATATCCACATAATGTCATCAACATTCTCCGTACTCGCTTTGCCCAGCTAAATATTCTTATAGCATTATTTATAGTCTGATCAAAGTGTTAGTATCACGTTCCCGAGTTTCAAAATGTCTGAAATTTGAAACCGAGCGATTGAAAATGACAAAAGGTCCTGTGTTAATGCCTGAAAATGGCAATATGCTGGTAACAAGATGAGTATCAAGATTCCTGGCTCCATCAAAGCCATGTTTGTTACTTTTATTTCATGAAAAAGCTTGTTAGCGCAGCTCCTTTGAGGCTGAAATATAGAACTCATACATACTACCTAGCCTAATTAAATTAATACATAACACATAAAGTGATAAATCTCTCGTAGATTATAGGTGCTTGCAGGATAATTGATATTCAGAGTAATGACTTCTCTAATTTCTGCATTTCGAAAAGAATTTTCATTTTTTAAAATTCTTTTTTCCTTAATTTAACATTTTTATTATTATAATCATTGAATTAATTGACAAATATGTCTGTTTTACATATTCATGATATCTACAGCAGGTCTCAAGCATTATTAACATGCGGTGCAAAAGTCTTTGCAAATATGTCAAGCTCTCTCAGACCGTCTTGCCGACTTCTAAACCAATCAAACGTTTTTTTGTTGGAAAGAGCAAAGTCTGAGCTACAAATTTTGTACCAGACATATTTTCCCAAAACGAATCTAAGAAGGAGGAAAAGTAAAAAACCGAATACCTCTAAAAAAGTTCTTGCAACGTTTTTGCAACTTGAAAAGTTTGTATTTCTCAATTATTCCGAGCTCCATGTATCAAACTTGAACAAAAAATACATCAAAATGTAGCGCATCAAAAACTCTATCGATATCAATATTGATAAAAGTTTTAGATCCGTTCTTGGCTCTTTAATCAAAATCGTTTTAAACATGAAATTTTTTGTAAAATCGAACCTTTTACAAAAACTATCACTTTGTAAGATAATCAGCCATCATCTTCGGAAATCATGCATGAACTCAATTCTTTTTGCGTTATTTGTTCGAAATATGTCCGATCGTAGAAATTTTGCAGAAAAAAATAATTCAAAAAATATTTTTTATCGTTGCGAAACGGCCAGGTAGTAAGAACGACCAACTTATTTAGTCTCTTTCAGAGAAAGATATATTTTGGTACAAAAACCAAGAGTAAATTTAACTTCCAATATACCATTGGAAAGAGCACTCTTTATGCTACAAAAATCATCATTTAACGTGTTTTCTCATTTCTCTTCTGATGAAAAAAAACTAATAGAAAATAGAAAATGATGTTACTCGATAGTGAAGTTGCAAGAACTTTTTTAGAGGTGTTTGGTTTTTGACTTTTTCTCCTTCTCAGATTCGTTGTGGAAAAATATCTTTCGTACAAAACTTATAGCTTAGACTTTGCTCTTTCCAACAAAAAAACGTTTGATTGGTTTAGAAGTCGGCAAGACGGTCTGAGAGAGCTTGACATATTTGCAAAGACTTTTGCACCGCATGTTACTTATATTAATCAACTCATAAATAGTAATATTTATTATCTTTCAAAAGTATAACTTGATCAATTTTGCAACAAAATCTAAAAAGTGTGACGCCTGTTATTGTTCATTGCTACGATCTGTAATGGGAGTATGTCTGTAATGGAGAGGGGTTTAGCAGGAGTGGGAGCCATAAAAACTCGCTCTTAAACTTACACTCACCATTTTCTTCGAAAAATATGTGAGTTCCACAAAACTGACTCAGCAGTCAATATATTCACTACAGTAGTGTAGTTTTTCTCTTTCGAGTCATTTAAAGTAAACAAATATATCATTCACTTTTTATTTTTTTTATCTCTCTCATGTTCTTTCTTGAACGAAACAGCATCGATATGGCTCTTCTCTTAACTCTTACTCACATTCATATTCCACCCAATAAATCTAGATCAGCAACAAAAACCTGTTAGCGTCAATGATGATACACTGCGATGCTAAATCAAGATTAAGACACGCTTTCTGGTTTAATTGGCTTAGAACATTTGCCTGAATAGCAGAAGACGTGGGCTCGAGTCCTACGAAGGTCGTCTTTTTCCTCATTCTGTTTTTTCACTGCATTTACAATCGTATGAATCATATATAATGCATACAAAACCGTGTCGCTATTCGACTACGCACAGCAGAGTAGTGATATGAGCGATTCTGTTCCACTACGAACTGGATAACTTATGAAGGTAAAAACTTTATGAGTCGAAAATTTCCGCTTTGGTAATTCCATGCCCTGACTATATATGATCCGAATTCGATTGAAACTGACTGTGCTGTTGTAGAACTAAAACAATTTTATTGTGAGTATCGATGTACGTTAAAGTGTCTAAATCACACTGTGTTAATTATGTTTCGCTGAAGTGTATGCACATGAACTCCACAGATGCTCGAAAACTTTGATCGACAGTTATTGACGCCTGTCTAAAATTCTGAGGGATACATCTCTCACTATAGACAAATGAAGATATACAGAATATAAAGATATTGTAATAGATATGGATATCTGAATATGCAGCATATTGGCTTCATATTTCTGATAAATTACTAGCATTGATTAGAGTACTGTTACTCTGAAATAGAACAATAAAAACAAAAATTCTCGTTACAAGTATATCATGGAAATCAAGATTGAAACTTAAACGTAGAGTATATTTCAATTTGAACACAATTTTTCGTTCTTTTAAATATTTAAAAATCATGTTAAAATAAAGTTTGGGTTCTATAGAAGAATCAACTGATATTCGTCTATCTATTCAAAAACTATGAGGAATTTTTGACAACTTTGTAGATTCGGATGAGTGGTTGAAAAAGAGATATCAAGTCTCGTTCTCATCGGATGTGGCTGTGGCTATGAGGATCTGGGTGCTGGTGTATGTTGAGTCAAGACTAGCATCCACATCCATAGTTGTGTTTTTGGATGTCTGAGTGTGACTGTGTGATCGGTGCCCAGTTGTGATTACGAGTGTTCTCTTCACTGTCATCAACACTGAGGCCGTCACTCCTACGCCTACATACATTCAAATGCCCCGGATACACAGATTCTTGATTTCCTCTTTTCTGATTGATTTCTTACCTGTTGTTGTGTTCCAGACTTGATTACGCTTAGTAGTTGAATTGAAGTGTTAAAACAGCCAAAAGTCGCTGAAAATGCAGTAGAAGTCGCCTCCTTTTATAGATTACTTCATCATTTTACTGACATTTGTTGAAGAGGCGAGCTTGAAGAGAGCAATAATAAAATTTATTGCTTACGAAAGAAACATAGCAATAAAATATTAATATTTTTATGGTTGGGTTTTTTTTGGCAGATATTTGTGCAGCTAGAGGAAAGGTCCGTTTAATCGACAAAGCTTATAACAAGTTGTGAAAAGAGCAGAAATAATATACGCTCTGAAAATTTGACGATTGGCTTCAAGAATTACCTGTTTTTTTTCTGGATGTGGATGTGAGTGTATAGCATGTGATGAATATGAATGTGGCTGTATGGTGTGTGGTGGGTGTGAGTTTGGCTGTGGCAGGGCGTGGGTGTGGATTTGGCTGTGGCTGTGAGGTATAGGATGGTTGTGAATATGGAGTGTGGGTGAGTACGGGTATAGGATGGTTTGCGGTAAACTGTGGGTGCGGGTGTGAGCGTGGGAGTAAGAGTGGATCAGTTTTTTAGGCACACCTAGATCCACTAATATTTACACCCCGCCTTCATCCCCTTTCTCTACACACACTCTTTTCTAGTACAGATAATTTACCAGCATTGTACTTTTTTCTAAATCCCTCTTATTGGATTAACTCATTGCAATTACAAAACTGGTAACTGTTGAAAACTTTATTTCGCTTACAAGTTTCAGCCTGGTACATGTTCACATGGTTAGTGCTCACAATTTTACGCATTATTGTCTTTTTGGTGAAATGCACAAGTTCCAGTTCTAACTAGGGACTGGGACTAGTCTACTACTTTAAAACTGGAACTGGTGAATTCCTAAATGAAACCTTTTTTATGTGTAAATTTTGATGGTATTTAATTAGTCTACTACTGAAAGAGTCAATCACTATCTGAGTTTTGTGATCATCTGAGTGTGGGTGTAGTACGAAAGAACTGGAAATCCAGAGCTTACACGAACTCGTACCTCACTTCCACTCATACCTATAATTACGTTCGATTGACACCCGCGTCTGCACTTCTTGTGATCTTTATTAGCAACCATCTAAGTTGACTATCATCTGACGTTGCTAACAACTGAGTTAGTCACCAACTTACATCTTCACTGATTCAGTTGATCACCAAGCTCGTTAGTTGTTAACTCCCTGATAATTAATTGCTTTAGCAACACATTAGTTAATTTATAGTAACACATGACACAGAATGAATTATATTGATTCAATAGTTTTCGATTATGATTTCATTCGAAGAAATCGGAGTGTGGGTGTGGGCGTGGGTGAGGGTGTGGGTGTGGGTGAGGGTGTGGGCGTGGGTGAGGGTGTGGGCATGGGTGAGGGTGTGGGCGTGGGTGAGGGTGTGGGCGTGGGTGAGGGTGTGAGCGTGGGTGAGGGTGTGGGCGTGGATGAGGGTGTGGGTGAGTATGAACGTGGGTGTGGGGTGGATGTGGATGTGGGTGTGGGTGGACGTGAACGTGGGTTTAGGTATGGGTGAGGGTGTGGGTGTGGGTGCGGGTGGGTGTGAACGTGGGTGTGGGTTTCTTCTCTAGAATTTAATCCACACCCACACGCACACCCCCCACACACACTTTCTTCATCGATTAATAAACAGAAAAACTATCAACTTTAATAATTTGAGTTTTAGAAACAAATTCTAGCTATTTTATCTTTTAATATTTCGTTGAAACCCATGTTATCACTAAAACGAAAGTTTGTTTTCAAAGTTTTTTCATCAATGTAATTAATCGAAAACAACATTAATAAAGATATTTTGTTTAGTGTCTTAATTCTAGCCTTTTAGTAAAGTTTACTTGAATTTGAAGGGTGTGAGTGTAGGTATCCTATACCTTGCAGGTTCAACAGACTAGAGTATTTAGTCTTCCTAAGTCTTTGCTTCGCATGCGGCAGGATCCCTTTTAGTTTGGCAACAGAGACTCTCTTTTTTCGTATTATAAGAAGAAGCTGCTGCAATTAATTTGAAGCAACATAAAGAAATAAAGGAGAGAAAAAAAAGAAATGTCTATCACGATAAAGATTCGGATTTATTCACTCGCCTTGGTTACAGTGTGAAAGATAAAAATTTCAGAAGAGAAAAACAGTCAAATTGGATGATGACTCATAATTATTCCAATACAGCCTGGTAAGAATGTTTTTATTGCGTTCTTATGCGTGTCTATCATTTCACTTCTCCGTACAGGTAAATGGGTGTGGGTGGATATGTATATTATTCTCTTTCTGTTCCTACATCCACACCCACACCCACACCCCACCCCACACCCACCCACACCCACACCCGCCAGCCACCCCAATCTGAACACGCCATTCGATAGAGCGCGCCACGTTGTACTTGGAACATGAATGGAACACTTGGAACATGCGCCTAAGCGAATCTTGGCAGGTTTTAGTAGATAGGTACAAAGTCGCTCATGGCGAAAATCGAGTATTTTCTGATTTTCTTGGGCTTGGTTTTAGCTATCGGGAATCGGAATACACCATTCGATAGCGCTCATCGAGTTGTACTTGGAACACACCCTGTGGCAGTTGGAACATGTTCCTGGGCGAATCTTGGCTGGATTTACTTGAATCTAGTGCTAACTTCACCTACGTGATATAGCTTGTGATTATTTGTAACTTGTAGTTTTTTCTTAAGTTAATCATACTAGCCAGATATTATTCTTACTAGTGAGAGTCCGTGAATACCGCACGGATGCTTTTTTTCTGTAAAGTTTCACATCTGTCCTTTGGCCTTGACTCGGTAATAGACGATCAGACAGTTCGCATTACATATGGAGAGAGATCCTATAGCCTTATACTCTTGTTGTACTACTTCTTATAGCCCTATTCCGTTATTCCCTTATTCCTTAGATCCCATGCAGCCCCATCTATTTATCCACTATATCCTTATCTTCTTATACTCTATTAGCTTTATCGCTTATGCCTCTGTAGCCTTAGCCTCTTATCCCGTTTACCCTTATACCCTTATCCTCTTAACAGCTTATAGCTTCATATTCCTGTAGCCTTATCCCCTACCCTCTTATAGCCTTATAGCCCTTGAGAACTTATGAGTACCTTCATATAATAGCCCATGAGGATCTATAAGTCCCCAGTAGCCGTTGACACTTTCCCCTTATAGCTTTATTTGACCTTTAACCTATGACCTTTGGCCCGGCACAGAGATACCAACAGACAGACACTGAACATTACATATATAGATGATGAATTTGCACAAAATTTAAAACTAATTTGTTTTTTACTATCCAGATCACATTCAAATAAAAGAAAAACAGCAGTAGTTTTTCCTTCAATTGTAATTGAAGGTCTTAATAAACTGCTATCATTTCTTTTAGATATTTGATTCAATCCTAAAATCAAATTGTTTTGTTTTTTGTAAAGCTTGAAATCTCACCTAGACCAATTGTTACTTCCTTCAAATGAAAAATCATTATTGAGAATTTCTAATTGAGAACGAATATTTTGAACAACTTCCATAATCTTAACATAATCAACATATTAACATATATAAAATTGATTAAAATTTTTACCTGTAAACCAGTGAGACCAATATTCAATTCCATATTAGTCTAAATGAAAAAATACAATTAAAAAAAAATTTTCAAAATTTTTTTGCCAAAAATCTTTTATCAAGTTGTTTTTGTACATTAATTAAAAAAAATTTTAAATCAATTATTGATAAATTATTACATAAAAAATTTTTTGTTTCAATTGATTGTAGTCGATTAATTAAAAATGTTTGATTAAATTGTTCATTAATACAAAATGATTCTTTTATATTTGTTTCTGATTGATAAGACTACATAAAATATAAATTTATTTCTCAAAGAAAAAAAAAAAAGAAAAACATAAAAACCTACATAAGAATAATTTGTTTATAAAGATATCAAAAATATTTCAGCAGCAACACTTATATTTGATAATGATTTTGTCCTATTCATCAACCATGATTGATGAAGATTAGATAAATTAATAGGATTTGCAAAAAAGTATATTTAGTATTGTTATTGGTATTGATTGATTAAAATTGTTTATTGTTTTATTTGCTATAATAGTTCCTTTTAAACAGAAAAGAAACACCGTATTAATAAGAATTTTCATTTTTTTTTTGATGAATTATTTTTACCATTCCAACTATTTATATAGCTAGTAATGTTATTTATTTTAGATGGAAATTCAGTTATATTTTCCATTATTTGATCATTTTTAAATATTTTTAAAAGTTTATGAGTGAAATTTAAAAACTGATTTAATAAATTTCTAAGAAAAAAAAACAACGAATAAATAAATAAATAGACAAAGACAATATAAAAAATACAAACGGTATATCATTAGTTAATATTTTAAATTGATCTATTAGATTTGTATAATTATGACATGTATTATTCTATCGACAAATATATGTTTGTAATGCTGGTAAAAAACCAGTTGATCCAAGATATTTTGGATCGTTATGACCTTAAAAAAAACGATTATTTTGTTATTATTTTTTGTTTTCTTTTAATAAAAATATAATTACAAGAATCATAATAGACGACTAAATTTTGTGTTCGTATCCACATAAGAATAAGAAATTAACAAAAAAAATTCATTTTCAAATTTTAAATATTAAACAAACCCATCGTCTACGTCGAATGGTAAAATTTTTCCATAAAACTAGACGAATTTGTCGACATATACTCATTGCGATTTACTAATCTTTTGATTCATATAATCACTAAAAAAAAAAACATTATACAATGATTCATTTTTAATTATTCTCATAAAAATAAATCCAATGATATTAAGTCTAGTGATTGTAAAACTTATGAGATCGGTCCATTTCTTC